TTCTTTTGTTTTTCTTTCCATTTCATTCAATAAGATTTCTTCTGAATCATTCAATAGGTTTTTTCCAATTTGCTTGACAAGATTCTAAAAAAATGCAATGAAGACCCAAGCGGCCGCAAAAAGTGGAACATGCGCGGTCTCCAACATGTTAAAGCAACAATCCCAGGACGAATTTACCGTTGATAATGTAGTTATAGGCGACAATTTGACCGATAGTGACGAAAAAACCAAAGAAAAACGCCGAACAGGGCTTTAAACAGGGACTCCCCTTCTGCCGCTTAGCGATGTGGGAAGACGCGCGTTGGACGAGTTGTCTGAACTTGCCCGCACTAAATGCGCTCCAGTTGCATAACACACAATTCCAGCGCAACAGGCAGGATCACATTGATTACTTTAAAGGACAGAGTTCAAATACTCCCTGTGGTCCCAAAACGAGCACGAATGCCTCCGTAGCCAATCACGGCTGGCAAGTGGGCGGTCCCGAAGAAATTTCCAACCACACCCATCTTTGAGGAGTTTAACGCCCTTTTTAGGCTTTTCCCAGGTGAGTTTTCTTTATAACTACACTTTAGATGTTCTCCAATAGGGCCTGTGCATCCTTTAGTGCCATTAGTATTGAAAGAAGCAGACCCTGCTGGGACTGTTGCTTTAATATAGCTATGTTTTCCGATTGTTTTCCGATTTCCACGCTGTCTAAATTTTCTGTGATCGTTTTATCTTATAATTGTAATTTTTGGCCATCCTATATAGACAATTTATAATAGATAAAATTAATAGTGCATGTAGATAAAAGAGTGAACTGAAGTCAGACAACGATAGAGAAGAACAGAAATCAACAGTGAATTGTGCGACGAAAATTTCGCAAGTGCGAACTGTCCGAAGGTCGTTAAGTATCGTCGGCTTATCTGACGACGATACTCAACGACCTTCAGAGACTTGACTAGCCTAATGTTGATTCAGTTCTACGTGACGGTCAAGGCTCATGCAAATCATCGAATGGGAAAGAAAGTTACCCGAGATTTCTTCTTTTAAATTGACATTAAGGAGATAAGCTTATTACGGGAAACATCACGCAAGCGCTAATGAGAATTTGCAGTGAAGAAACGGCTCCAAATGTTTGCACTAACACTTTGAGTTCAAATAGAGATAGTCGCTAATGCGAATGGCGAAAATATAATAGGATCGAGGTGATTGAGTGCAGTACAGTAACTCATATGTTTGGCAGAGGGATTGATTTCCTACGTAAATTGAGGCCGTCCAATATATTTAAGGGTTCTATAAATAAACAATGAAAGTGATATCCTTACTGTACAGGGTGCGCACAAAATAGGGAAAATCAAAAAAAAAATCGGAGCTGATGAGTTTGATTCCTGAATGTGACCAACAAATCATAACACTTCTAGGAACAAAATCCTATATTCATGATCGGATCTACTCGAAGCTTCGACATAGGGCCTCGAGTCGCTTGGAGAGGCACGCATGCAGATTTTCATATAATTACATTTAAATTCCTCATTCGACCAGCCATTTTCACAGAACAGATTAATAGATTGAACATGGCGAACGCAGGCTTTTGGGCAGATACATTTGAAGAAGTGGAATGATATCACAAGCAGCTTTGAATTTCACAATGTAGGGACGAGAGGAAATCACACAATCGTCAATGTCTTCAAGTTCGTCTCTGATTCATCCAAAAACAATCTGTGGGAATTTGGGATCCCTAGCGGCTTCTGAAGGCTTCCGATCCCTGAGAGTCAGATCATTCGAGCGGATTTGAACAACGATAAAATGGAGATCATAGCGACTAAATTTCTTGCCACCTCACGATCTGAAAGGCGTCGCTTGCTTCAGAACGTTCACCAAACTTTTGGTGGCTCATGTGATGATAGTAGTGGCTTTCTCGAATGCGGTCCGTCAAGAAAGGCTTCCTCATGTCCAAACGTTTGAATTACTGACACCACCGCGTTGATAGCTTTGAGACCCTTCTAGAACTACATAGTGCCAAAATATCTCGCCGGTACAACTTAAAGGCAAGATTCAGGATTAAATTGATGAGGTAATTCCACTCAAATGTGAAAGTAGGGGTGGGAGGTGGACCGCCAGTGGAGAAAAAAGGAAAGAAAATCCTGAAATACACAGGAAATACGAGCATTTTGCTCTATGCTGTGGAGAAGTTCAAAAGGACGGCAGGGAGATGAGAGATAATGTGAGCGCGGAGAGCGGTAGAGAAGTCCGAGAAGAGAGAGCATAGCAGATCAACATTGCGACGCAGACAAGATATCGAGCGGTGGGCGGAGCGTGTCGCAACAGGTGGAGCGTGTCAAAGTCCTTGGCGCCTAGCGTCTTAGTGACGCATTTCGATGCGGGAAGTGGCGCGTCGCCTGCAGTTGCGTCCCAGCACTTCTAGCCACTTAAGGGCTTATTAAGTGGGTCTGAGCCCGAACTTTGCCTTTAACACTTTGGAGACCGCGCGTGTTTTACGTTCCGCGGCCGCGCGGGACTTCGGTGAAATTTTTAGGGATCTTATCTAGCAAATTCAAAAGAAGAACCCACTGTATAATGCAGAAGAAATCTTATCGGATAAATGGAAAAGAAAATGAATGAAAAACCTAATAATTGTTTACGAAATGCGAGCTGAAAGGTCCTATGCGGTCGGAGGACTGCAGCCCACATATGGGCTGCGTGGGCTCCAAGGTGTTAATGAAACTCCCAGGACAGAAAGACGACCTCGTAATTTTGAGAGACCTGAGGTGTTTTTCTACAGCACAGAAGTCAGTGTTATGTTACGCAAAAACAGCATAAGCGGATGAGGACGTGAAAAAAATTGAAGAAGTTCGCAAGTCTTCGGAACTTGTGCGCACACTGTATACGTATCCCATGACAGAATATATTTGTGACTCTGGTGACAGCCAGGGGTGAAACTGATGTCAGTGTCCGCGATTCGTCGCGCGATTCCCGCGAAACTCGAAGGTTGCAAGTGCCCCATTTGAACATTTGAAACACTGAATATGAAACAAGTAGAATCATGAACAGTCGTCATTCAACCATCACCATCAAGCAGAAATGGCGGCGGGATTGGAGAGCACCTCGCAGTATTGATCGGGGGACGGATCGCGGACTCTGACAGCAACCTAACAGTGCGGGACAGGAAGGGACGTGTGTGGTATGAAGAAATGAGGATGAATGACAAGAATAAGCAAATGATTGTGAGTGGCAGGAAATGCACTGTTTCCATTGTTTAGCTTATCTTAACCTCAATAAATAGGCTGCTTGGACACGTGGACCCTCATCCTGCATCGCAAGATAGAAGCATAAGTAACAAATGAAGGAGATTCGGCAAGATAACATCTTAGTGCGGTCTCCAGACTTATGAGTGACAGAATGCGATGCAGTAAAATGGTGCAAGGATCACCTTTATCAGCATCCTCCTGACCATTGAACTTTCTTTAACACGTGCCAGCGAGTTCCCCTTTTGTCCCTGTTATCTTGTTTAACCCTCACACTTAAGGGCAACAAACTAACCCATCATTACAGAGCTTTCATGACAAGGTTTATCCAGCGGCTGTCCTGAAGTCTGCTGACGTCTTGTTGCATGCATCCTTTAACCGTACCGTCCCAACGGTCCCCTCTCTACAGCATAAATTGCCCGCCCAGCGTGTTTCTAGAATCCTCAGCAAGTGCTACAGCACTTATTGTAGAGGAGCCGCGCAACTGTGGATTCCGTTCTGCTTCCCTCCAGGCGCATATCCATCCGCAATATGCCCAACGACTGGTTTTTCCTTCACACCCCTTCTTGGAATATTGGAGTGCGTAAGCAACTTCAATATTCCCCGATAAAGCTTCCTGGTGCCCGACAGGAAGCCCGTCGAGCAACGAGAAGGGAGAGACGCAGACGGGTCAGCGGACGAGTTGCACTGTGTGATGTGGGCGTACTGTAGTAAATTCTGGTATGCTTGACGCGAAATCGTACGCCCTGCGCCACGTCCCCGACCCCTCTGCGTCTCTGCCTCTCGCCGCGCGACGGGCCTCCTGTCGGATACCGAAAGTTCGAGCACGTTCCCTTCTACTCAATTTGCATCGTCAAAACATCCATAAGTATTCGTTCCAAGTTCCGTTAAGCGTGATTTAGGAACTAAAGCCCAGCCCAATTTTTGTAATTAAATCATTACGCGTCGCATGTTCTTGCTTTATAGCTCACCGTTACCAGTTAACGGGTCCAGATATTATTTGTGTCTTCTCCTATTCTATAAGGTTTTGGTGCTCATTTCGACACGTTTTTACAGATTCATTGACAAAATCAAAGAATAAAAGTGAAAACAGAGGAAATCGTTTTAGTGGTAGCCAAATCAGCTGCTAGTCAGAGTTCACGGGGAAATACTTAATGCGTATGGTGGGCTATTACAGAAAAATAGATTAGTGGGAAGTTTGAGAGCTTGTGCTCACACAGAGTGATGTGGAGTAGGCTACTGACTCTATGCATTCAGCATTTTTCAGTCCTTTGAAAACGGCCCTTGGTCGAATTTTTGGACCAAATGAGCTGCTGCGCCATTAGAACCTATTAGGCAGAATTAAGTGGCTGACGACAAAAACAACTTGTCAATTTTTCATGCTGCACGGACTAAAACAAAATGATATATGACCAGTGTAGACGGGTAGAACAGCTTCCTTCTCACTATAACCACTTAGGGAACACTTGGAAAACGCCGAAATGCACGGGTAATAGTGGCATCTTCGGCGTGTCTCCAACTTTGAAAAGTTACTAGACTAAGAGTGATTCTTAAGTGGAAATCAGGTGAATTGAAAACTGATATCTGATGACAATTGCACGATCGATGACGTTGCGAAAATTGGGGGGAGGAGGAGCAGGACATTAAAGCACATTTGATTTTGCACGACAACATACACATGCCAAAATAAACGTGAGAGGAAACGAGAGCACATATGATCGATTTAACATCGATACAATAGAATTATTAACAATAACAAATGGGAGAATTCAGCTAGCGGTATGTTGTTTTCTTGTACTCCTCCAATGATTTTAATTGGATTTTTGGACGGAAGTTGTAGTTCATAAGTAGATGTGTCGATGAAAACCCGACAAGCCAAGCTGTCCATTTTCGATTCTTCTTATTGTCGAAACCAAGTAGATGTACAGCGACGTACCAGAATGCGGCCGTCATGAGGGCACGGTAAAGACGCATCCTAAATAATCGATTATTGATTGATCATGTCAAATTTCGGAATAAGTAGCATTGTTATAAATTGTTCAAAGGACCAAATGATAAAGTATTCGGCATTGAGCAATCCCTTCCTGGGACGCGCCAGGCCTCATAATTGCATTCTGAACCATTACCATTAAAAGTGCGATTTAGACTCTTCAATAAATTACGGGGCCAGATGATGTACAATCGATGTTTTCCTTCTTCCAGACGAGTCTGCCATCGGTCGTCTAACCCCAGAAACATGGCGGACTCGATTGCTTTCAAAAACTACTCACCGCATTAAGTTTGCTCGAGCGACTTGAAGGTTATCCAAATTCTCCTTCAGAATATATTGCTTGATTCCCATAACATAATCAAAAAGATATGAATCCCAGTCAAGTTGCCTAATATCGAAGTTGAACAGCTGAAATGAGATTAAACCATATAAAATGTTTTGAAACGTAAAAAAGTATGTAGGAGTTAGCAGAACGACGGTGCGTGCGTACGCGATGCGGTAATCGGCTAGTTGAGTATGATAATTAAGAATAACTTCGAATTCAGTGCTATTCACCTGTTGATCATGAGCACTCATTGAACTCCATAGTTTTGGTAAATTTTTAGACTGGAATGTCCATCCCTGAGTTGTGAAGTAATGCAACGCCTCCACCATACGCCATACTCGAGAGTACAACTGCACATTCCTGGAATGCCGAAAATAATGGGATGCCATGGCCAAGAAAAAAGTGGCCAACCCAACCAACTTCTTTTTTCGTCCAATTAATCCGTACACAAAATCCAGAGCGCTGGCAGGGATGTGATGCTTTATGTAGTAGTTGAGCTCAAACATTTTTCTGCTGGTATGAAATCTGGTCGATGGGATCGCGAAGCACTGCTCCATTGGATACTGCAAAATACTTAGAATTTTAGTTTCAGAATTCGTTGAAAAAAAAACTAGTGCTTCGACTCTCATGGAAGATTAGATTAGTGCCTAAAACCTACCTCATGGTAAAACTGTTCTAAGAAGTTGACGATTTTCCCCCACTTCAGAGGATTGAGATCGCCAGATGCGCAGTGCATCACAGGTATCGTGTCATACCTAAGAAAAGTCGGTATCTTTAACACATTGACGACAACGCGGGGGATATATATCCCGCGCATTGCAGGCCATGTCGGACCGTGCGGGATATATATCCCCCGCACCCATTACACTCATTTTTTTCGCGCACGCCTGATTTCTTTTAGAAGTTTCTTGTATTCATTCCATGGAAGAGACCTTGACGTAGCTACAAACATAGTGGCCCTTAGAATGGTCACGTATACTTTAATTTAGAGGAGGATTTCTGAACCATACGAAATCTTCATTTCAATAAATTTTTCGTTTACTTTTTCTTTTTATGAATGTGAAGATTTAAATAGTAGTAGAAGTAGATAAGGAACCTTAGGGATGACAATATGTGTTTTGATTGGAATAATCAACGTAAAATTGCTTTTGAGGTCCATTGCAGCTAGTTCTGAAAATTTCGCTTTTTCATTGTTATTCCATGTCTTTCGATCGAAATTCCACTACTGTACCCCTGGTAGGTTGTGCTCATTACAATTTACTGATCTGGTTTTGAATTGATCATTATTTGTGTATTTATCACTCAAAATCTGCTTGAACGACCTGAGGCGAGCGCGCCCGCAAAATCGCCGCGGTCCCACGTGGCCAAAAAAGCCAAAACTCGCGTTGTCGTCAATGTGTTGAGTATAAATAACCCTGACCACGTCACCATAACTACGCAAACTCGTGCCGCAACGAGAGATTGTGAAGAATAGTCAAAAAAACATGTCAAAAGCGCGACCCTCAATAATCATGACCCCAATTGGCGCTTTTCACAAGAATGGCTAACCTACCTTGATCAGAAAGGTTTGTTCTACAGGACTAATGGGACAATAATGGCAGTGGCCGCTAATGCAAGGCACTGTGAGAGCACAACTCCTCATAAGGTTATCGCCGAGGTCAATCGTCCGTTCGAACAAACCGCGGGTTGCACTTGGGAGTTTTTGATGGGGTCGAATTTAGGGTTGATCAAGGCACCGCCAGTTTAAAAATTGTGAGCGGCGGGTAGTATTTTTGGAAGTTGAAGGCACCGTGGTTGTGGAGGAAGGTGAGGATCGTTTTCGGTTGTTTACCAACACTTCAAGAAATTTGCATGAAATAGGCGAAATTAGAGGATCTACAGCCCCTTAAGGTTCCTTTTTAAAGTTGTTTCTCAGTATTCCACTATAAATTCGAAGGTCGATAAAACGGGAACTTATCCAGTGCAAATACAGCGGACTAAGGATGCGGACCGACACGCAGTGCCCAGCAAAGGATATGCCCGACTATCTCGCATGACCCTCCCAGCGACGCTATCGGCGCGGCACACCCACACGTCTCTGATCGTTCAGCAGAGAGAGCGTTAGCGTTGAAGAGGGCAGCACCGATGAGAGTCGCATCATGCGGAAATCAACGGGCAAGGAAGGGTCTCATTTCTGAGTTCTGGCCGTTTCTCATGGTCTTTTCTCCACCTTGGCACCAATGGCCACATCTACTTGATTATAATGGACTGCCTCAATCGTAAACTCGCCTTCAAAGGCAAGAATCAGGATTGAATTGATGGGGTGATTCCACTCAAATGTGAAAGTAGGGATGGGAGGTGGACCGCCAGTGGAGAAAAAAGGAAAGAAAATCTGAAATACACAGGAAATACGAGCTTTTGCTCTACGCTGTGGAGAAGGCAGGGAGATGAGAGATAATGTGAGCGCGGAGAGCGGTAGAGAAGTCCGAGAAGAGAGAGCATAGCAGATCAACGTAGCGACGCAGACAAGATATCGAACGGTGGGCGGACCATGTTAGTTTGGTGGAGTCTGTTAGAAGTCCATGGCGCCTAGGGTCCTAGTACGCGTTTCGATGTAGAAAGGTGGCGCTACCTTTGCACTTGCGTACCCAGCACTTCTAGCCATGGTAAGGGCTTATTGAGTGGGTCTGAGCCCGAACTTTGCCTTTAACCTATTTTCACACCTCTCTTTCGTAGCTTTGGAGAAAATTTTCTAGCGAATTGGAGTGTTTCATGTGGTAACAGGATCAAATTCTATAGAAAGCCTGATGAACGGTTTCATCAGAATTTTCTTGCAATTTTGGGCAGTTGGGAAACCCTTCTCGGAATAACCCTAAACAAAGGAAAGTGGGTAAGGAGTTCTATCATGTTCTGTGCGAAATACTCGACAGTGAGGCGCACTATCCTGCGGCAGTGCCTGCGATGTCCGCTGCGTTTTCTAAAAGGAGGCAGGAAGCACAAAGGCGAAATTCATCAGAATTTTCTTGCAATTCTGGCGGTAGTAGAGAAACCCTTCTCGGAATTCTTCATTCATTCCGGAATTCGTCTGAACGCGAGTGTTGACTATGGTTATGTAGCCCAGTTTCGCAGTGTCGTATTCGAGCATAAAACTTGCAGTGGCTCGGAGTGTTTCCGGAGCAATACGTCTATAACTGGTGGGTAGCAGCAGCCAACTTATCACTACAGGTGGGATTTTGCGCACATGGAGCCTTATATCCGTGGTGAACATAATTTTTTAATTGAGGCTTATCGAGAATGTATAACGAGCTTTTTGCAAAACCCTAACCTTAGTGTTTACTGAAAAGCCCGAAGGTCTCTTAGCCAGTCTAGAAGCAAGGCGTAAGAGAAGCAAGGCTTTATGTAATCAAAGTCACAACAAAACGAAAGGAAGGCTGTCCTTAAAGGAATCCTGCCGGAAAAATCTTGCATTCTTTCCCAACACGCATATGTCAGTTGTGATCACTAGAGACAACATACAAAGTTTCACGCATGAAGATTCAGTTTCCGAAGAGAAACAAACAAAAAAACACTCTATGGACAATCGAAGGTAAGTGGCGCGGAGCCAAAGGCGGGGCATGGAAAGAAGTCCGCCTTTGGGCGGCTACGTATCAGGCGACGCAATGAAAGAATCGGGTTAAAGCGTGCGATTTTGGAGAGTAGAGACAAATCGATCGATAGAATAGGATGCAGTAGAAGTGTGAGATGTGAATGCAATAAGTCAAAAGGCCAGAAAAGTTTCTAGTGACGGCACTCCAAGAACCAAGTGGAAGCATTCCCGTCGCCAGCATTTGTGACAGATGTCCGGCGGTACTTTGAACGCGTAGCAGCCCTTTCGGTTTTTCGAATTTTTACCAAAACAAATGCAATTTTTTTGTTCTTTTCGTTCTTATCGTGAACGATGGGTCAAGCCAGTGATTATGGGTGAAATAGAATCACGATTTTTCCGAAAAGGATCCTTAAAGTATCACGGATTTATCAGTACCCTATTGATGAGCGTTGATTCGTGTTGTGCAATAAATCAAAAAATGAACTAATGAAGCTCTCCCATATACTGTCGCTACTTTCCTGAGCTCGGGAATGGCTTCAGTGACGGATGGACTCTTTGTGAAAAACGCTTACATTGTCATGGCTCGATGAGACGCAGCAACAATGATCATATTGGCTACAATATCCACGGGGATGATGTCAGCTTTTGAGCTTGCGCTTCCGCACATGTTGGTTAGAACTCCTTTGCCGACCTAGAACAATTACTACAGCTATACAGTAGCGCAGCAGACGCTATTGCGAAAAAGCACAAATAGCGTACCGCTGCGAAAATACCAGTGGGTCCGTTGATGTTGTCCGTCCATCCAGGAAGCGGATCCCTCCACATGGCTCCAACAATCGATGGTCGAATTATGATAACTGGTAACTGCTTAGCATCCTCAACAAGTTGCGTCTGGAAGATAAATGATCATTTTCAACGAAAGAACATTAGAAATATTTGCAGAGAACTTAAAACTGCTGTCACGATCGGCGATCAACGGTTTGTATTATTCTGAATTTCTCAAAAAAAAGAACTTTTTAAAGACAAAGTTCGGGCTCAGACCCACTAAATGAGCCCTGTGGCTAGAAGTGCTGGGTACGCAAGTGCAAAGGTAGCGCCACCTTTCTACATCGAAACGCGTCACTAGGACCCTAGGCGCCATGGACTTCTAACAGACTCCACCAAACTTAACATGGTCCGCCCACCGTTCGATATCTTGTCTGCGTCGCACGTTGATCTGCTATGCTCTCTCTTCTCGGACTTCTCTACCGCTCTCCGCGCTCACATTATCTCTCATCTCCCTGCCTGCCTTTTGAACTTCTCCGCAGCGTAGAGCAAAATGCTCGTATTTCCTGTGTATTTCAGGATTTTTTTCCTTTTTTCTCCACTGGCGGTCCACCTCCCACCCCTACTTTCACATTTGAGTGGAATACCTCATCAATTCAATCCTGAATCTTGCCTTCAATAGGGCTAAGTGGAGCATTCCTCAACCCAGACAGCGCTGCCTCTACTACACACAAATTTGGTAGTTTCCCTTTGGAATGGCCGACATGAAAGTTAGCTTTTCGCGAGCAGGATTCCCAAACGATTATATTATTACATAGCAACAACCGACTGGCGGTCTATAGTAACAAGTATAAGACAGCATCTGTTCAGCTCTTTGCGCGGTCTTTCCGTTCACTGTGAATACGAACGACATTTTTTGTGCAAAATCTGACCTATTTCCATGTGTTCTTTGTCGTGGTTGTATTGTTACTACCACGTTTACGTATCAATCTTACAAGTTCTGAGCCCTGCTAGGCGGAGTTAGCGCTTTGAGCAGCGATCACTACGCAAACATCGAACTACCAAAAAGCGTAAAACGTTGAATTCAACCATAAAACAATAACTTGTCTACTAGGGAAGGGACTGAACTGATGACAAAACTCTCGAACATTCCAATAAACATCACCTCAGCCAGCGCCTTCGTTAGTGTGTATGTGTTAGGCCGTTTTCCCAGAAGTTCTGGAGTAATCTGAAAAGATAGTTTCATTTATTGATGTGATTGTATCTAAGTAAGTGGCATTCGGCAAAGGCAGAAAAAGAAAGTCAGTACCAGTGATACTAGAACTGAAACTCGTCTAAATCAAGTGCTAAATACGACAAAATCACAGCCTTCAAAAGGACTAAGAATTCAGCGTCCATTAGCTCTTTTTGGGATGCGCCGCGCATTCCACTCCCGTAAATGATCGTAGAGGTATTTTAGTGCGATTCAGCCCGTACCATTGCTTACGGTTCCTGCTAATGCAGAAATTGTGTTTTGCTCTCCCAGACGAGTTTCTTACTAATTAACCAACCGCAAAGGGGTAGAAGAGTTGGTCAGCGTGAACGGATCCGACCCAGTGGTAAGCGGCGCTACTTGCCATTACAATACCTCTGCGCCATTCCACTTCTGTTATAATACAAGGATATGTGAAAATATCACTGTTACTTTTCTTCTACAACAGTATCCAGATACTGCAAAAGCATGCTGCGAGCTAGCTAAGGCCTAGCGCCAAAATGCTAGCTTTAATGTTTGCATATCTATCGGTCATTTTCGACAAAGATATTCAAAAATCTCGTGAATAGAAGGAAACGAATAGGGGAATTGGTTATCGAAACGACAAGAGTCTGTAGACTTTCAATACGGATCGTTCATTTGTAAATATTTCTTGAATTTTCTCATGATTGGTTCTACTTTTTCAAGTGATGATGCACTGCCACAACACGGTTCTCAGCAATTTCTCAATGAGAAATATCAAAGAAAAATATACTTTTTAAAGGCAGATCACGACGGCTTTTGGGGTGTTGCATTTTGACAACGTCATTGAGTCGTAACCATATCACCCCCCCCCAGCGCGCTGAGGGGTCTAGCCCACCTATGACATTCAATGACGTCATCAAACCGCACCACCCTCCATCCATCGTGGTCACTGACTTTCGTCTAACCTCCCCTTCAAAAAGCGAGAAAGTGTCGGGTGCAGACCATACACCACAAGTGACGACGGCCTCCACAAAATGTAAATGTTTTCTGCCAATGAAATGATTAGCCTGTTGCAGTTGTATTCTATCAGTTGTCACTAATTACAACTATCATTTACCAAAAATCAGCTATCACTATGAACCACTACTAACCAGATTTACTTGGAGGCCGTCGTCACTTGTGGTGTTTGGTCTGCACCCGACACTTTCTGGTTTTTTGAAGGGGAGGGTAAATATTTGTCATCTTAGTTAAAGTATGTAGTGAAAGTTTTTGAATGCACCAGTGATTACCAATGTTATCATATCATTGTTCATCCATTCGACTGCTTCCATTAGTTTCTGTGGAGCAACTGGTGGATCGTATACCTGAACATGTCTCTTTACAACCTTATCCTTCAGTTTTCATGAACTATCGGACAAGTATGAACCTTCTCTTCTATTTCAGTCCGATCACAATTCGCGTAGGCAGTCGACACATGAACCAGTGCCTGTAATTTTAAACCATTTACTCCTTTCCCTTGAATCTCGAGAATTTCGACTGGAATTACATTAATTGATTACTAAGCGGTTTTACTGTGGTGATTGGCAGGTGCCCATTCTCACTGAACTCGATAAGACGCTTAGGTGCTCCATCTGCTATAATGTACTCTTTTGCTCATCGCCGACAACGAACAGGGAAGGGACAAAGGTTGTCCGACGCACGGAAAGTAATGATAAGAGATACGCCTGCCAAGCAAACTGACTGCTCTGTGTGTTACAACCGGAAATGGTCGTTAGGTTCGATTTGGTCAGGAATTATGTGATGGCCATTACATCTGCACTCTTGAGCCACTGAACGGTCGATACGGTACGACCAATTGGACAGGTTAAAAAACACCGGCCGATCTCTCTTCAAGTGTTCCCTATTTCGCTGAAGAATTATTCGTTGTCCTTTATATCGGTCGAGAAAGTGCAACTAATGAGGGTTGAGACACTGAGAAAACGTCTAGTGTGAGAATCAGGAGAGGTCCTCATGTCGTCTGATCACACCAGGCACGATCGTTATGTGACATTTCACGGAACTTTGAACGCAAAAAAGCTTCTAGTGAGCTGAAAAAGCCAGGATTGATAATTCGGAGCACTGGGAAAGATTTGCTCTTTCGATCGAACTTCGTTTGGCCTTATGACTCTTCCAGATTACCACCCCTTTTGGAGAGCGGTCAACAGAATCGATCACGTCACCGCCGCGAGCGGCATCGCGACGCGGCGATCCTCCGGTGGGCGCAGGATTTTTTAAATTGGCGATTGGAGCAGTGAATTTCTTGCAATTAACACAAATCCATGTGGTACGCGGAATCAAACTCCATCTTACTACTAGCTCTTGCATGAAAATGGCATGAACAAGATTTTTTTTGAAGTTCTTTATCGCAATATTAAGAACCCCAAAAGAAGAAAGGTTCGGGGGGGGGAGGGACAAACTACTGCGCATAGTTGATGTTGAATGTTGAAAGAACGGGCTTGCTTGACTTCCTGATTACATTCAAGCTCGAATGATGCGCACAGAAACTCGTCCACTGCTGTTACGACTCCGCAGCTATGACCAGCAGCGCGAGTATCCGGACGATTCTGTTGACATACAACTCAATTTCTACAACTAGTACCAAACGTTGCAACGTGCAGCGTCTAAGTTCCATTAGCACTAAAATCATAAGGGAATAATTTTTTCAGGAAACAGCAGTATGCTTGTATCATTCACAAGGAGATTAATTCCAAAGCGCCGAAGGCTCGTTGACGGCCTGAACTGAATGCCGTGTCCTACCGTAACCCAACAGACAGACTGGCCATGACGCTCATGACCTTGGAAAAAGTCAGTAGCGCGCAAGCTTTCCTTCCTAGCCAGAAAGTCAGTAACGCGCAAGCTTCCCTCCCTAGCCAGATCGGAGACGAAGGGTTGACTCCTGCTGTCTCATCTTGACTTAAAACCACGACGGTGACAAACCCTTGAAAAATGACTATCTTTTTAGCACTCAAGTATAGACTGCGGTTTGCAATAGACACTGGCCCTTAGTAAGCCGAAAACTCTTGTAAAAGTAGGTAAATATACAAATACAAGCCCGAAGCATAAGCTCACGATCAATTTCTGCATCTTATGACACAGTGCGATGAGTCGGGTAGTTCCCGCGACGTTCATCTCCACGGCATCCTTGAGCTGTTCGTCGAATTTTACAGTAGCCGCGCTGTGGATCACGATGCTCACCTGAAAGTTGAGCCAAATTTCAAGCATTGAGATTAATTTGAGCATGTTGAGGCATATTATTCATTTGTTCATTCGATGCATTCGTAGATGCGTCTATAAAAAAGCGCAATTTACGTCAAATCGGGTGGGGGGAGGGGAAGCTCATCGGCGGCGCGGACGCGAGCGCGTGCTGGTGACGTCAAAATACGTTGCAGCTGGGGCACGATTGAAGAAAGGAAAAGCAGTGGCTGGTGCCGTTGGGCTTCTGGCACTATGCCAACTTGTTCAATCATTTGTGACGCGAGTGATACAGTTATGTGTACAAGTGCTATCCTCGCACTTGGAATCGAAATTGTTTGAAAACATAGAGGACGTCGAGGCTTTCATTTGCAAACCTTTAGGAGTTAACAGTCAAGTTCAAGTATGAAGTAAAGCGCGATAGATGCTCATAATACTTAATGTATTAAGCTAGAGGTGGCAGAGCCGACCTTGCTCGCTCACTCGCCGCCGCTGTGACGTCATCAACCACGCAAACGCGTCCGCGCCGCCGGTGAGCTTTCCCATGGAGCCGATCAAACCAACCACAAACGTGCAGAACACTGAAGCAAATCAACAAATCTAGACGCGCTTTTTCAAAACGATTTTATTGCATTCTGTAGGAGCACAAAGTCGTGTTTAAAGAATGCAAACATTATCTCTAAACGATTTTAGCAGCGTCAAAAAAGTGGTGAAAACTATCAATAGTACGGTTCTTCGTAGTGGCAAAATTTTGCGTTTTAGGTTGGCGCTTCTGCTACTTTGCTTAGTATGTGTCACGAGGGACGTCTCTACAAGATGCAAAAAATCATTACGAAAAGTGCAGCTGCTCGTGAACGACACCCTTTCTAGCAACTGGAAGCGTTCTATGAATTCGGTCTTTATCTGTAATCTGTGCCGACATAATTGCAATCGGAATTCGAACCCTCGCCATAACCTTAAAACACCGCAATAGTTCCCCCTACGGCCTCTTTCCTGCCCAGCTTACCATGCTGAAATCGAATGCAGGTCAACCATCCATTATTTCAGTTCCAGAGATTTGACGACCGTTCTCTTAGAGGTTCCCTATTACGGCCCCCTCCTCACTTCCGCCTACTGCCCTCACCATCGTTCCCAGTCGACACGTCCAACTCCGCCCACTTCTTTTCAGAACAATCCAGTGGGGGAGGGCGAATGCGGCTAAACCAATCCTTTGAACCGGTTGAACCGCCAACCAGAAATGCACCGCTCTGAAAAATTCAAAGACGACTCCGTTCCTCATCGTTGGGAACTGTCAACGCACGGTTGACCCTGGAAAGGTGTCTCCTTGCTGGAGTACAGTCACTTCACACTACACTACACTCTTCTGCAATTTTGTTTCCATTCCATCCGAACTGTAACTCTTTTTCTTTTAATTCATTAAGGGGGATTTCATCTGTTGTCTCACATGCGCGCAAAAAGCGCAACTTGACGCAGAACGTGTGGCGTAATTCTGGTACAAAATTCTCGATTGATTTCTAGGTAGGAATACGGAGTTTCAGAAAACTAATTTTATGGCCATGATGACAACAAAAAATAGCTGCTCAATTTGATGTTTCATTTCGTCAGCTCTCGCGTCAACGTCGAAAGACGATTAACTGTTATCGATAGAGCAAGACGCGTCGGGATGGCACTGGTATTATTGATGTTTATAGTTAGATATTACGAGATTCTAAGGCGGTATGGAAGCCGGGCGCCCAAACATAAGAAGAGATGTTCTTAAGCCTTCCTTGCGATACGTTTTTTTGCTAATGATCACCAGAAGGCAGCTGAAGACTCTTTGTGAATAGCTAGGGTCATTCGCATTGACTTGATTCCTCAAATCGAGCGGTAACCTCAACTTTCACCCATTTGGAATGATGCCAAGGCCTGATATGTGGACCGCTCCGAAGGTTCTTAGAAAGAATGAAAAACTAGTATTGTCAGGTAGCTGGTGATTATTTTTGAAGAGAACACCCGAAAATATAGATAAATATGTGAGTAACCTGATCGCATATATTTTGCATGTCATGTTGATTGAGGCCAAGATTTTTCTCCATAAGGTCTCCGGCGATCGGCACGAGCTTGCTGAACATCTGAGGCTTGTGTTCACGTAGACGGTTGAAAAGCGGATCCTTAAGCCGAATTAAAGTTAAATTGGATTAAATTCTCCTTCAGGGAGGCACTTTCCTCCATATTTATGTTAGCCTTACCTGTAAGACCTTTTCGAGCCTCTCTTTCGGTGATAGACCTTTGGCAGGACGTATGAGCAGAAATATTTGACCAACATTTGGCAAAGCCCAAAGCAGTTTTTCAACAAGTACCTGAGCATTAATTATTAAGCAACGCTACTTAAGGAGGATAAGTCGATATGTCGCATGATATAAAAACATCTTTTTTTTTCAAAAAAGTTCCTCAACTTTGAGGCAACCGTTAAAAACTCTTCAGTCGCTACTACTTGACACAGCTGCTTGTGTGTCAAGAGATCCTGAAGGTTATTATCGATTTGTAGACTACCTTTCCTAGAAATCCTGTCGATCCTGTGATCAAGACACATCGATCGCTGTACACGTCCTCCACCCGCCAGGACATGGTTACCCTGAAGTGAGTAAATGAATTTTGGTAGTATTCACGTTGGGGGATCAAGATTTTATAGGACGAATAAAAACGTCAGAGGATAAGATGAGAGTTATGGCTAGCACCGAGTGACCAAGAATTTGACCCATAGGATATACTATCCAATTATCGTAGATCGCATTCCCATGTGTCATTCACCCTTCTGGGTATGGCCACTTAGAAGTGACGCGATTGGGATCGATTTCTCGATTTTCTGTATCCCCCTGACTTGTAGATTTATGAACTGTTTATCCAAATTTTATATTCTTTACTTCCATTAATATTGTATCAATATCATCTACTAATTTTGAATCTTGGTGCTATACAAGTAGGGTGGGCACGCCGCATTTTTTGAACAGAAATGTATGTAAGTGGGACTGCTGCTCGCTACTACACACGAGAATCGGGGAAGTTCGTGAGCCTGGGTGTAGCCAATCTAGGGGGTGGAGGGTCACTTTACATGCGTGAAGCTGGGCGTGCCCACCCCACTTGTATAGCGCCTGAATTTTTTATGCTCGCGCTCCCAAACATTCAAAATATCAGACCTTTTCCTGGAGTTTTCTTTAATGCCGAAAAATATGAAAAAAATCTAATATGTTCATTACGTGAACATTAATGACTCATTCCATATTCAAACAATGTGAAAACCAGAGAAAAAACATGCCCTGGCATTATTTCAGGAAAAGGAGCTGTTGCGTATGGAAGGAGAGGCCGATTGAGATAGGGTGACTACGATTTTTAGCAGAAAAAAACGGCAAAATATTTTCTTGATCATTGATTGGCTTCACCTCTTCGCTGATTTCTTCCGGGTTTCACCTAAGAATCCTTGCTCACCCGAAGAGGAGGTGTAGCATATAATTGTGGAAATGCATATGGTAAATCTTTTAGCGCGAAAAATATCGGATTTTTTTGACATAGGATTTTTTCATTGGAGGGAGTCTCAGGGTGCAGTAGTGTGCACAATGTGAAAACGTATATGATAAAATGGGATGAAAATCGAAAAAATTATCCTAGTTTTCCACGGGAAATATCTGAGTTCATTGAATGAATAAATTTTCTGAATAGTTATCGAGAGCCGAAGGAAGCGTTTTTTGAACAGCTGACGTTTTACAGTAATTAACAATAAATAGAACATAGAGTATATAAAAAAAATGCGGAACAGAGCCAGGTTGAACAGCCCTACTGATTTACTCGTGTCAACATGAAGATGATACTTCGAAAAGGAACTCATGCATTTCTATTGAATGATCTTTAGATCGGACACGCTCCCATAAAAAGTTACAGGCAAACCGATATGGTCGATATGGACAGCGGAAAAGTTGGGTTAATGTGAAGAGAAGCGCGATGAGAGAATTGCCCGAGTCCTGATACGCTGCCCGGTGTGCTGTGTAGATAACAACAATGCGACTCAATCATTGGTGATAAATGCCATAAGGAGGGACGAGGGCATCGCTATGGAGCACTTGGAGCGCCATGGGAATGACCCTTCAGAATTCGATGAATGGGCACAGTTAAAAGCACTGACCCTTCACGATCTCACTAGCAACTTTTTTTACGACCACTTCAAAGCTTTTGTTGTAAATACTTGTTCGACTTTTACTAGTTTACTCGAACTGCCGTCTCAAACAGACCGAGCAGTTGCATGAGAGACTTGAAGCTCATTTTCTTTTGTCAAGTTCAACGAAACAAATAAAATAAATACTTGTGAAATTCGCAAGGCGAACTGCGGCCAAAAACAGCAGTTAACAAACAAAAACAAGTCAAAATTCATTGCTAAAGCTTTCAGCCTCGCGGTCATCGGCTAACCGGCTCAACACGTTATACGTGTGAGTGCTGACAAGCTATGGTACGTATACCATGAAAAGCTGAGTTGGAATGAAATGGTGCCCCGGTAGCGTAACTGGTAGCGCACTTGCCCGGAAAGCGAGAGGTGCGGGTTCTAGTCCCGCCTGGGGCGAAAGTTTTGTTCACAACCCAGCATTCTTGTGAAACAAATAAAATAGTTGAATTTTTGCAAAAACTTTTAGATTCACGTCTCATGACCGATGTCGGCTAGCTAACATCACGGTAACGTGTATATGTATTGCTAAGCTGTGGAAGCCATGTCCCTTCTTCAAGTTCTGCTAAGCTGAAAATGTCCCGGATGGTGTAATGGTAGCACTCCTGCCCTGTATGCAAGAGTTTCGGGTTTGAATCTACGTTGAGGCAGATTTTGCCTCCAACTCAAAGTCCTGTGAGGAGCAACTCTTTGAGCTAACCACTGTGGAGGGTAACAAATCGGAACTGCAGCGAACTGGGTCAACAACATTCCTCAATTCATCTTCGGTATTGCCTGCAGATAATTTCACCTAATATAAACACGTCCGCAAAAATGTTCAAATCTGATGTGAGGAAAAAAATACAGAGATTTGTTTGTAGGCCCGACATTGTTAGCGCAGGTCGTGCGTCACTGTAGGGATGAAATCTGTTTGAGAACAGGGAAAGGTGAACCTGCAGCAGCCTGCAAGGTAAATGAGATAAGACCCACGGTTCTCCTCCCAACGTGAGTACAACATTCGCACACATCGCAGGTCACCGGTCAAATGACATGCATGCTCTCAGAATCCGCGATGAACGATCGTAAGCGTTGCGGTTCCGGTAGGGCGGGGTCTTGTAAGGAATTTTTGGGTGGTGCTTGTTGGATGGGTTCTGTTAGGAGCTAGGGGTCATGATTCGAATCAAACTTTTAGATTCATACGTATTCTATGTTCAACGACGCCATCAACCACCGGGACAGGATCTACCCGGAAGTTTTCCTGACACCGGGCTTAATTCTGCAGCAGTCCCCTGCTGCCTTAAGCAATCTAATTGATTAACTTTATTACAATCTCGGCTGCGTTCTTAAAGGAATCTTCCGCGGAAAAAGCTCCGCCTCCATTACCACAGAAAAACGATACCCCTTAGGCCCCTAGCCTCATGAGCATAGCAAAAAGAACGGAACATAAGCGTTAGTTTCGATAATACTAATCCTACACACAAGACAAAATGACCACTCTTTTACGGACTCGTCGAAAGCTTTGTTGAAATACTTCTTCAAGCTGTTTTTACTAGTTTGACGCGAACTGCTGTCCACAAAACAGAGCGAGTCGAGCAGTTGCATGAGAGACTTGAAGCTCATTTTCTTTTGTCAAGTTCAACGAAACAAATAAAATAAATACTTGTGAAATTCGCAAGGCGAACTGCGGCCGAAAACAGCAGTTAAAGCAACAGTTCAGGGAGGGTCCGAAAATTTCACTTGCCACTACACTGCAAGGTATGAAATATTTTGTTATACGAAGTTAAGATACACGAGCCCTAGTGAAGAACATATGCAGTGGAAATAATAAACGAACTTACCTCAGAAACTCAAAAACAGGGTGGAAAGTCCCTCAAACATGGGTGTTCTTGGGGATTTCCCCAATCCCGCCCCCTTGCCGGCCGTCATTGGACGCGTCGGCAATCGTGCTCGTTTTGGGACCACAGGGAAAATTGATTGAAAAATGGAGCGCGTTTACAGCGGGCACGTTCAGACAACTCGTCCAACGTGCGTCTTTATCCATTGCTGAGCGGCAGAGGGAGAGTACCTGTCTAAGACCCTCCCCGACGTTTTTTTCCAGTTTTTCATACATTAATCGTCTGGTTTTCATCTACAACTTCATTATTGGTGGTTTTTTCCCGCGAAACCGTTCCTGAACTGTTGCTTAACAAACAACAAAAAATCATTGCTAAAGCTTTCAGCCTCGCGGTCATTGCCGATATCGGCTAACCGGCTCAACACGTTATACGTGTGAGTGCTGAAAGCTATGGTACGTATACCATGAAAAGCTGAGTTGGAATGAAATGGTGCCCCGGTAGCGTAACTGGTAGCGCACTTGCCCGGAAAGCGAGAGGTGCGGGTTCTAGTCCCGCCTGGGGCGAAAGTTTTGTTCACAACCCAGCATTCTTGTGAAACAAATAAATATTAAATTTGCAAATTTAGATTCATCTCGCTGACGG